GAAGGGACTGAATATGGCCCGTACGAAAATGTACGAAAAGAAGCTTCCAATGAATAGCCGTTTTAAATCAATTGAGTAGAATTGTGTGCACTCTGAAACCAGCTTTACGTACTGGGCTTGTCTTGTCAATGATGGGGTGACAAACGACCGTCTGGGTTTAGCTCTGCAAAATTCAAGTTGACTTTGAACTCGTCGGCTTCGAATTTTGCTGTCCTTGCATCAGCATTCGCACCACTTTGAATTATTTCTCCATAAACACGTAGCCTAAATCAAAGTAACTCGTCATGCACTGTGTGAGCTGATACCAAAACGAAATACACCCATGGTTAACCCTGGACTTCTGAAAATCGGGAAGGCTCGACATGTTGCAAGTTAATAACCCTGTGTTACATACTCTTTTCGGGTATATACCAACATTCGTTCTCCCTAACAATGAAACAGACAGGATGGACATAAAACCAGGATAGCGGACGCAGACACGAATTTCGGAAATCAGATTTCAGATAGTGTCACCTGCAATTAGGAACGTGATTCGTCTTACTTTTCAGCCCTGTCACGGTTGGAAAGAAAAAAAGAAATTGCGCTTTCAATCAATCAGTTTCGCCCGTAATCAATTCAATATACGTTCCGGATTGAAACAATAGGATCACATAGGTGAGGCGTACGGGTGTTCTGATACATCATGTCCTCCCGCTTGCTCATGACGTCTCATCAGGTAATCCAACTGGGACAGGTTACCGCCATTTTTCCAACTAATCGCTCATGTACAGCTCCTGGCGCCAATTGTCATCATTTCCCGCCTAATTGGAAACACGGGACGCAACGCAGGTCTTTTTTTTTTTGGCCCCTTGCAATAGATATCTAGAATGAAGGTTGGATGTAGGCCTGGGTGAAAACTAAAAAAGCTGACGCAAAAAAACCCATGAAAGTGGGCTAAAACGGCCGTAAAAGTCCACCCTCGGTCACCGGTCGGAAGGAGGTTGTAAAAACCTAAAAACAAAACACAGATGATACTGGCCTAAAGGATAAGGTGGAAATCTGGCGGAAGACATAATTCCCAAGTATATGACCTGGGGAAAGGGTTCCCCGTTCAAGGTGCAGCAAGGCTAAAACTGAAGCAAAGACAAATGCTGCGTTTCATTTGTGAAGACTTTCTTCAAATTTACTCCGTCACTTTATAATTGTATACCAACACCACCAATTGCCAGGTTAAAAACGTATTCGTTGTGTGCTATAAATAGTGGAACATCTCCAGGGACATTTGTGGCCAGATATGTGACAGAGGGAATCCCCTCTTTTGTGTTAGTAATTGAGTAACCAGAATCTCAGCAACTTTTTTTGAGATATCTGGGGGGGGGGGGGTTGCTAGTCAGAAAAAGTCTAGGGTGTGTTTTTTAATAGTCCCCTCCCCCCCCCCAAAAAAAAAAAAAAAGGAAGGAGGAAAAAAAACAAGTGTGATATTTGCTATTAATTTAATACACATTTAACAAAATGGGCGTCTGCAGGGGTGTCAATGGGGGTGGGGTGGGTTAATGTCCCCCGCCCACCCCGAATAAATGATACATTGAAATATGCTAGAGAACATACAAGGACTTTTTGGGGAAAATAGACTTTGCCCTCCCCCCCCCCCCCCCCCAAAAAAAATAAAAAATCTTGGCGAAGCCCATGGGTGTGTATAGGTTATAGGGACGCCGGGGAGGTACCACTCGTCACAAAACGTGCTGGGTACATCAAGGGAAGTTCCCCAGATCTTCACTGTCTGCATGCAATGAATACCGTACCTGGTGATATTTTTATTCAATGTGCGCAATAAAGTGGAGATCTGGGAACATCCATTGAGGGGAGGGGGTGGTTAAGATTTGTTAAGAGAAAAATATTGTCAAAACATAAGACGTCCCTCATAATTCTGCATGATAATTTGTGAAGGAGCTCTAATATTAAGGTGTCATTTACATGTATTATAACATATTTTAGATGGGCCTTATACTTTCTACCGCTGCCTATCTAAGTAATATTGAAGAAGTGAGATTTTCCCTGAGGTGACTGTTCTATGTTACGACAACCCGCACATGAAATTTGCGATAATAGGGTTAGAGCTAGGGTTAGGATTATGGACAGGAATATAAGCAGACGGAACATAGGTGTGTTGGAACATCGGTATGTGACCTTCCCTTACAGAGGAGGAATATTGGACAGCAGTTCAACCAAACTGAGCACTTCTTATTCAAAAAGTCTTGCCGAGATTTGTAGAGAAGAAATCCCTAAGAGATCCGATAAAAAATCATCCACGAACTCCAAACATGCATCACCATTAATTTCAAGTAACGTAATCGTCAATAACTTTTGAGCAAATAAGCAACATTTCTTCAATAATTATTTCCTTCGAGTAATAATACTGACTTCCGGATGTAGAGAAAACGGATGCACTGAAACTGCTGCTAGACGCTTTGTAACTATTCTTGTCTACACGAACTTTTCATACCAGACAGTGTAAGTTGTAACAATAATTTACCGAGCGCAACCACGACAACGACCGGGCAGAAGCCCCACAAAAAGCGCATCCAGGCCACGGCGTTGTGCGGTGGTTGAACCGGCAAAGGTGTGATAAGTCCCAGCCAGATTTAATTAAGGATTATCCCATCCGGCCGGTAGCTTCAAAAGGCCCGCGGTCGGGGCCTGTTTTGTCGGCCCTAATTGAGAAATTCTTGCCCAGTTTATCCAGCTAATTGAGCTCTTTTTGTGGGGGATGTACCGGTACTATTACCGAAGATAAACTTGTTATTACGGGTTGGATAAAGAAGGGATCAAGATGGCCGCAACAAGTCGAGATGTTTAATAGCGGTGTGTCTTGTCACGATCTTTATCATTGACTAAGTTAAGCTTCCTTCATTCTTGAAACCGGAACTGATGTCGCATGTCTGGTAATCTCTTATTAAAGAGTGTGTGTTTCTTTTTTTAGTTGATGACTGGCCTTGAGGTTGATGACTTATGATTGGGGACAGTGAGTGAGGGGCGTGTCTCTAGCTTTCGGGGGGGGGTCATTTGTGCTTGTATAGACCATTATTTCTTTTATTGAACATCGGATGTCAAGACAGGCTGATTACTGGGTTATATAGAAATCTGATTGAATCTGATCTTAAAAAAAGTTATTATATGGCCAAACCCATATATACAGGACGCAAGTCGTATAAGCCTCAAAAACGATTTCTCATTGAAATTGAAATAACTGTGATTACGAAAGATAAAACTCAACAGAACAGAATAGGGCCTTTGCAGAGGAGTATTTTCTTTGATTTAATTAAAGTCATTTTGGAATTCGTAAAGTTATTTTGTGAGGAAGGATGCGTATAAAAATCAATGGAAATGGTTTAAGTGTATGGTAACGGTGAGAGATATTATGATATACAAAACATAGCCAAATTTATTCACCTGAACCATTTTTGTAAATCTCGATGTTGCCCCCCCCCCAAAAAAAAAACCCAACACCCAACCCTTTTTACAGATTGTTCATACATTAATCGAAGTTATCTAATTGTTCATGATGCTTTTCCATCATTTTATCTTTCCCCTCTTTCGATTTTCTTAGAGTTAAGGAAAGGTCATCAGTCTAGTCATCGGTCATCTGTCTAGACAAGCCCCATACATGCTCTATATGAAGTCCTTAATGAATAGAATCCAACATACTGAATTCCAAAGGGAATAACGATTAACAAGTTTTTTTTTATTTTGAAAACAAAACACCAAAATGAATTGTAATAGTCTGACATGGCTTTGTAATCAATACGATTAAAACCTCGTTGGTGATTACAAATACATACAGGTTTGTCCAGTTTTGTTTTTTTAAAAGAACAGAAAGAAAATAAGATTTCCTTGACAATCTCTCACGTTTTAAAGAGAACTGAAAAAGGAAATAGGCAATAAGAAAAAAGATAATGAAAAAGAAACAAATAATTATAAATACATGGAACTTAAAGAGAGATGTGACCGGAGTCATTTAAGCTCTACAGGGTGAATAAAAAAACGAAACTCAAATGTTGGGACCATTTTGTTAGTGCAGTTCTCCATGTAGCACTTTCAAAATTTTGGAAATAAAACCCCAATTCACAAGCTTTTTTTTCATTAAAATCACTCATGTAATTTTCAAGTTAAAGAATTTTAGACACAACCACCGTTTTAAAGTTCTGTCTACGGATCACAAATAGGTTTTTTTTTCAGCAAAACGAAAACAAATCACGTAGGAATGTATGTGAATTGTTTTCGTTTTGCTGAAAGAACGCACACATTTTTTGTGATCAGGGGACAGAAATTTAAAATGGTGGTTGTGTTTAAAATTCCATAACTTGAAAAGTACATAAGTAATTTGAATGATTCTTGTATTAAAAGAAAGCTTATGAATCGGGCTTTATATAGGCTATTCTAGATTTTCAAAGTGCTACATGCAAAACTTCACAAAAACAATAGTTCCGACATTTGGGTTTGTTTTTTTACTCACCCCGTACTGCTGGAATTGAACCCGACCTTGTGTCTCCAAGACGTTGTTATTAAAAATCTCGATTTTAGTCGAACAACGCTCGATTTTTAATCTTTAATTTGTCCTTGGCCAATTCTATAAATTGATCAATCCGTATTAAGTGAATGATATTCACTCATAATATTATAGGACTAGATATCTTGAAAGGTCCATCTTTTCCTGCTTCACAATCCAACTTTTTATCGTAAAATAATATTCCGGCTAAAGGTTAATCCTGGCTCTCTAATAAAGAAACACCGATAAACTTCAAACGGCTTGTTGGCTCAGAGGCCCAAACATCTTAACAATTACTCGTGACACAATTCACGGCAACCAACCAAAGCAGCGTTTAAACAAATTTAAACAAAGGTGAACAGTCATTATTTTGTTTTGAATCCTGCAGACGATAAAGCTAACCGCCTCGATCATAAATGAGCCGTATAATTAATTAACCCCCGGTGTTGCCTAACACCTCTTGAAACAATATCCCCGTGGGCTAGGCGGTTTTTTTGGACAGGTAATAATTATGCAAACAAAGGTTGTGGAGACCCACCGCCGGCACCTTTCCGACAACAAGTGACCGAACAAAAGCCACGTGAATTCCGACATTGCCCCGGCCAAAACACAGGGTAAAATGGAGCGGGGTTTACAAAGGAGACCCCAGCCGGAGCAAAACGCTGATCGCGCCTCCGAGCTAACCGTGGCTCGCTGGCCCGATGTGGAGAGCGGCACTGCGGAGGTTTAGGCAAACCGCACACAGCCAGCCAATCAAGGCAAGTGTTTGGACAACTCACTGCCTGCTGAGATAGCCTCAGCTTTTTTTTCTTCTTAAACACAAGGCGGGACCAACACTAACGACAGAAAAAATAAATCGGTGCTCCACAACTATTAGCCACCGGCGTTCGAACAAGCAACGTGGGCTCGCGAAACCAATTGCCAGTGTAGTCGGCAAAGGCAATGCTTTATCGTCGCCGGTTTTATCAGTCACTTTTTGCCGTCAAAGTCGACCGAATGGAACTATAACATTACGAGGCAGACATGAAACTTTTCACGGCGATTGTTGTTCTTTATGTCATGCAGTCGGCGCTGTTGACCATCCCAAACGTCATGTGAGTACAGTGTTCGTGTTACGTTTTGAGAAAATGATGATATCGGTACCTTTTATATCTTTCCTAATTGCTTTAGATACTTAACTTTACCTCCTTTTGTTAGCTGATATTTCCAACTGTAATTCATGAAGAAGAAAAAAACTAGGGGAACATTCGCACAATGTTGATTAAAGGAGTAATGATAGGAGCCAGTAGTAGGTCAACTTTGTGTCGTTTTGACTTCATTACAATTCACGCGAATCGATACACCTATCAACCTAGGATTTCTTTTAGCATGCAATGCTTAAAGATAAGTAGCTCAGTTTGCGAACTGTTGACAGTACAGGAACTTCCTAGTGTAGTTCATGTTTCAACGCTGGACGTGTAACTTGGACGCCCTCCTTGCCATGGCAGTTGTTATGAACTTGACATTCAAAACTTTGTTTTCGCCTGACACGTGCCCTCGGGCCATCAACGATTCTGGTGTCTTTTTCTTATGTGTAATGCGATTTTACCAGATAAGATTTCGTGACTTGTAACGGTGAGGATCCAAATACCTGCTATTGCTCATCTGTAAGTCTGGGAATCGTTCTCACCTCTTTACAAACTCTTTATGAAAATGTTGGCAACATCGCGGTTTTACGTTTGCTACGAATCTTGGCTAATTTGAATTGAGAACCGCACTTTGGGCCAATGATCTGGGCTAGAAATATGGTTTAGAGTTGGTTTGATTCCTGGATGAGAGGTAAACCCCTGTGGGATCTAAATATGTTACATCTCTTAATCCAGATCTACTGCAACCTCATAATGGAGACAGATACGACATTTGGTCCTTGTTTCTTGAATTAAAAGAAAGTTAGGCAGTGTGACTGCATTGGATATTATTGATAATACATTTCTGCTTCTTCAACTTAATCTGTGCTCTGTGATGTCCATCCTCCATGCCTTTCAAAGGAAAAAAAAATGGTTCTTTAAGAACCAAAGGTATTGACTCAACGTTCCATTTTTTGTTTTATAACGATCATTGGAAGCCAATTTCACTAATGACGGTCAGACAATGTCAGAACTAACTGAAACGTCCATGAATACCTCGATGCTTCACTTGGTCCTTCCCTTAATGTCTCCCAAAATGCTACAACAAATGCTAATGTCAGTTTGTGTTTTTCCACATTTATCACGTATCATTTAAGTAGTGTGGGTCATTTTCGTTAATACAGGGCCCTGTCCTCCGTGGTCGCACTGGGAGCCAACGTGATCTGCAGTAAGATCCCCGGCCTGAGCCCCCGCCAGCGATCCATCTGCCAGAACCGGCCGGATGCCATCGTGGCCATCGCCGAGGGAGCCGACATGGGGCTCGGCGAGTGCCGGCATCAGTTCCGGTACCGGCGCTGGAACTGCACCTCGGACGGCTACGGGGAAACGCTCTTCGGCAAGCCCATGCCATCAGGTAAAATTCTAGGTGTAGCAGTAATCAAATCATGAGTGTTGCCAGTATAGACGGGTCTGACACTATGCAAACATTCCTGGACCGCCCCTGTTTTCTGGAGGGGGCACTCACTCGGTTTGGTCATTGTTTAAAATAATACAGAGATCTTTTTCCTTTCCCAAATTCTGAGCATGGGAGGATGCAAAGGGCAGAGGGAAGTTAGATACATCAAGTATTATAAAGAATTCAAAAGTAAACATAACTGCCAAGTATATAAGCATGCAGGAATTTGTGGGTCTGTTGTACTGCTTTGTTAAATGAGTCTTTACTGACGATTCTGGAATACAGATAAGAGGATGCTTTGATCTCGATGTTGTCCCCTGAATAAGAAAGTGTTGCACCTAACATGTGCAAAGAGACCCCCCAAAGAAGACAAGCAAACTGCTAGTTGCTGTCCTGGCAATGAACTTAGTCATTTCTGTAACTCCAAACTGTGAGATTTTCCAAGCCATACGGTAATCAAACCTTCCAAAATAAAGAAACCACGGGTCTTTGGAATACAGTAATGTGGCAAATATGTTTGTTCGCGTCATGTTGGAAAACTCAAAGATCGAACTGAATTGAGGTACACCGAATCTCGCCATGTCAGATTAGATTGCGCGATTCTCGCATGACCGCCTCTCCCTCAGCAATGCATACCCCGATACATCAAGGTGACTCTTGCCTTTCTCAAGTCAAAACCAAAACTGATCAGCTTTCAAACTCGACTCGAAAACACTTGTGTTTTCCCGACATCCCTTTCTGCAACATTCGGGTAATTCTTCAGAGCCATGTTTGTTTGGTTTTTGCAAGACAAAGCCGGCATTGTTTCCGCGAGGCAGTCAAACAAGCATAGGCGGTGACTTGATCGGGGCGGCCAGTGTGGGTTACTGTTGCCTTCAGAGTGGCTACCGGTGTTGAGCTAAAATGTAATGTCACTGGTCTAGTATTCGAAATCAAGTAATTGTTGTCCAACTGCAAAGATACTCAAACCAGACTCCCGAGGAATGTATTTAAAATGAAGTGTCTGGATCCCTATTTCTCCCCTTAAAGGGACCGGGGACGTATAAAGGGAACTATCTGTTCACGTTTTGTCAATCAGAAAAATGACTGGCTAACCCAAAGTTGCCAAAAGCAGTGCTGTCGACGAGTTCTCACAAGTCCAATCACATGTACAAATCCTTGCACAAGTCCAGTCGCAAGGGTGATGAGCAATAAAAATGGAATGCTTTTTCATTTGAAAAGCCGGTCACTTGACTTGAGACTGTAGGACTTATGATGGGCAAGTGAATGACTTGTGAGGACTTGTGAGGAAATGTGGGGACTTGTGAGGGCTCATCGACTCGATTATAACACTGCCAAAGCGTAAATACGACAAAGATGTTTTCCTGATTTGGATCCGGAATAATTGCTTTAAATTAAGTTCCTATAGCAGGTGGAGAAGTTGTATACTTATGAGCTAGGGGAATTAATTATTGAGCTCTGCCCTGTTTCATTTAGTGAACATGAATTCAATTTGATGCTGCAACTTTCAAATGTTTAACCTAAGGCTTGGTCTAACTCTAAGAACCACCGTTGAGAGAGGTGGATGTTCGTTCTCCAATAAAATGTCAACAGGTTTGAACAATAAAAAAAAAAAAACCCAGCTATGACATTGCATTGGGTCAACTGAACCGGTCATATGGAAGCGGCCATTTTGGATCACCTCGCGGCGAACTATTGTCAGTTCAGTTCGCATAAGCCTACTCCAACCTCTCGAGTGGGCAAGCTCATGACCCGGAGGTGCTGATTCTAAAAGATCTAAACCGCTGTGGACACAGAGAGCAAGGTGACAGGTATGATGGAGTGAGATCAGGGAAGGGTTTGAGTCTGATGGACAAGAGAATAGGCACGCCGCGAGACAGGCTTTCCCCCTTTTTTAAAATGATGATCCGACTGACATGTATAACATGGCTCCAAAATGGCGGCCGATTGTATTAGGAATGCCAGCTGTTACAAAGAATCAATTTCAGAGCTGAGAAATTGATGGAACATGTTCGGTTGCATCAGTGTGCTAAGGAAGTTGTAGTTTTGCACAGTAGGGTGCGTGTCTATGGATTAAAAGCCAATTTTTAACCAAGCCCGAGGAAACGATCATGTTGCCGTTTTAAGCGGGGACCGTTTATTTTGCATTTGAGTTTACAACTGGCCGACTGCATTTAGCTCACTATGTGACCACGCTCAGGAGCTCTTGGAAAAAAAAAACTGAGCAAATTTAAGGTTTGAAAGAGACATGCAGTTTCGTTGGTTTTTGAAGCAATTTGTTACGCCGTTTTGCAGTAAACACAAAGAGTTAGCTTTTATCTACATCAACATGCTGGCTTATTTCATATTGCTACATACATAATTCCTAACGAGGGAAAGATGGATGCAGTTACAGTTGCCAGTTCAAACAAGCTACAAACAGGCTTCCTTTTGAGCATCATAAAACACTTGACCTGCATTCAGCACATCCAACGAACGAGATCTCTTTTTTTATGAGCATGGACAAAACCTGAGCACTTGACCGGTAAAACATCATAAAGTTATGATACCTTTGTCAGCAGTTCCAACTACACGGGTTCAAAAAGAACTCGGTTATTATTAAGACGGTAGAGGCTTGCGTTGTAAGTTGTGAACACCGGTGGGCACTTCAAACGGGCCGATGGAAATTTAATGCAATGTAAATGCTCCATTTATGGGCTGTCTTTCATTCAGTGAGTTAAATGTCTGTTTATGGGTGCATGCAAGTGCGTCTGGCGTGGAAATGACCCCAATGCGAGTACTTAGAATGCGAGGTTTAGTAGTCGAAGTTTTGGGTTTTGCATGGGATTAATAACAAATGTGCATTTGATGAACTGTGAGTTTCAATTTAGTTTTTTTCATAAAGTGAGTTGGGGAAATAAGTTAATAGTACGACGGAGTGTTTTCGATACATTTTGTGCGAGAAAATAAGCGGAGGAGTAGCCTACGAGTCTGAAAAGGGGAACAATGTGTGAATCTCAGAGTGAGGTGTGCTTATGAAAATGAGTACAAAAATCATGTTCGAGTGCATCAGACAGCGAGTCACAACTCATAACTTTCATCGGTCTCAGTTTCTTCATGAAATTGAGTGCGAGAAACTGAGTGCATGATTGAAGAAAAAAAAGGAGTAACGGAGTTCGGGTTTCAGTCGAGTATCTGATCAAAATGAGTATGAGAGAATGAAGAGATACGCGAGTCTGACAAAGTAAGGTTGTGAGTTGAAAAAATGTTCACAAAGATAAGGGTGTAAGAGCATAAATATGTGTCTGTGTTGGTTGTACAAGCATTACATTCACTGTGTGGACTTCCAAACATGAAAAGGTCCACATAAACCAGGTAGCAGCGATGTTGTGTGGAGTTGCCAACGTCCACACAGTGTTTCCCCCTCTCTGGAAAACAGGTTTATAGAGGCATTTTGGGGTAAGGTGTGGCAAAATAAGAGAAACACTAAAGGGAACCAAAGAAAAATTTTGGGTTGAATGAGTTTTCACAGTGTGAGTGAAATGAGTTTTTTTTTCACAGGTTTTTCTTAACTACACGAAAACAAAGGAATGTCCACATGATATCCGTAACGTAAACATGGTTGTTTCTTTGTGTGTTTTGATATTTTTGCGTCTGTATAAATGTTCTGTTTGACCTCATGTATCTCATTAAGTTATTCACATTGTGTGTTCACATGAGCCAAATGTGTTCAACATACTGTTAATGCTGTAGTGGTGGCCGTGGGGAAGGGGGGGGGGGGGAGGTGTTCAATCACTCGGTGCTAGAGGTGGAGGTGACTGTCTATTCACCGTGTAGATGTGATTAACTTTGAACTCTGTGTACCATAAAATTACTAAACTACGATCAGACTGAATTGCTTCCCCCATAAACCTACTCTGATGCAGCAATCGTGGCTAAAAAGGGTCTAAGTCATACCCACCAACCGAACAAAACCCAAACACAAAAACCTCGTCCGCGTGTAACCGCTGTTTACCTTTCTGCCGAAAGGCAACTTATAGTAATAGGCACTTCACACCTCCAATTGTAACCTCTCTTTTTTTCCCCCCACACTGAATGCCAACATATAATAAGTCTATATACTCCATCTAGGTAATGAATACATGACACGGTTCTTTTTTTCTCTCTCTCTTCTTCATCCAGTCTTGACTATAGGAATGGTCGGGCTGTCTGGCCGCCTGATCGTGTGAGCAAACATTCTCGCCATAACTCGACCAACAATGGCGGGGGTCTCGGCAAATTGAGATTAGCAAAGAGTGCGTGTTGTAAAGTGGGGGATTTCTGCAATTTATGTAAATAAAAAAAGGTCTGAAAACTAGAGTCAGGCCCATGCAGGAACATTGACACACCAGGGCAAATGGGTTTTTAGGTAGAACGTAGGCTTGTTATTTCAGAATTAAGCAATGACATACGGAATTCAATTTTGTTTCACTATCTAAACTGGCCTCCCTGAATTTGAGCTCATGTCATACAATTTTATCGTACGTCGACTAGACATCGAAGACCACTGGATCACTACCAAATGATATAAGGTTACATAGAAAAATCCTTTCAGCCAAAAATGTATTGAAATAAAAATAATGCGTTAAAACTCTATTGAATGTGGGATCCTAGTGTGGATTATTGACTAACTCTTGAATGCATATACGATCATTTGCATTTATGCCAAAAGTATAACCTACCGAATTATTATCAAAAAGCTTACGTTACTAGTGCATCCGCAAACTTTGCCCAATTGTGTGTATACTCAATGCCCAGCTTAAATTTAAAGACCCGACACATCATTAGAACTGTTTCATAATTTCTCAAATGCAATTGAAAATGCATGTGTTCAAATACACTCAACCAAAAAAGAAAGTCCCCCTTTAATCCTTTTTTTTTTGTTTAACTCGAAAACTACTGGGCACATCAAATTACGACAAATTAGTACAGAAATTCCTTAGCAATCCAGACATACTCTTTGTTTGGCCCAAAACAGTGATAATGTGTACACAATTATGCAATTTATGACAAATGGTACCGACAAGAAAAGTTTCACTTTTGTATACGTGCAAGGTGAGTGTGAACCACAACTTGCGCGTCTACAAAAGTGCAAATGTTTTAGGTATAATTTGTCATAAATTGCATAAATTCGTACACATTATCACTGTTTTGGGCCAAATAAAGAGCATGGCTGGATTGCTAAGGAATTTCTGTAGTGATTAGTTGTTATTTGAGCGAGAGGTGCTCAGTAGTTTTTGAGTTAGACAAAAAAGTATTAGAAGGGGGGAGTTTCTTTTTTGGTTGAGTGGATGTGAAGAACTGAATAGCCATCAAGCCTTCCTTGAAATTTATCTTTGGATTAGAGGCCTATATCTGAAATTGTTTTTCGTTAAATAGTCATGAGCATTTCTAATTTAGACCTATACTTCTTCCTGAGATTCGTTTTGGCCCTCATGTTCTTATAGTCGGTGTTCTGTCATCACTCGCCTCCGTTTACGTTGATTGATGACATGATGCAATGTTAGCAGTCTTGCTCCAGGTGATGTTTCTAGATCCCAATGGTTCATTTTATTTTCGGTGTTCCGGAAAGCAGTGTTCCCTGGTAACATGGTGCTGGGTTACATGCCCGCAGCGAATGGGATTATGCCAAAATGGCTGGTATCACGCAAACCCATATGGCGTGCCGTAGCATGATGCAGTTCAGAAATGAACTTTCCTATTATGCTATGACCAGTGAAGTCAGAATCCCATGCCAAATCATCATTTTTTTTCTTTTCTTTTTTAAAGTTGATGGGCACTCCATACCATACCAAAGCGTCATAGGCGGAAGACGTTTTTGTTCTGCTTCCCTGCACAGAAAATCAATGCAAACTTTGGCCAAAAACACACCCTATTTTCGTTTGTCAGTTCTTGATTAAATTAATGTGGTACATGGGTCATTCAATATGCATGGTTGAGATCAAAAACAGGCCGAACTGCCAAGCCTTGGAGACTTAAATGGATTCTTACGGAATGATCAGCACTATACAAATCAACAGCTAAAGAATTTAACTGACAAAAAATAACGAACAGATTTAAGGAATGAGTGCTTTGTTTCGGTCTGTTTTTTCCGCCGGTTTCAATCTGGCGATTTCCGGCAAAGAGCTCTTGTGATGATCCTAGTGCCTACTTGAATTCGTCGTAGTAATATGACTTATACACGGTATATGTTTTCCTATACACTACAACTCTAGGGTTATAGCAGTTTTTGTTACTGGCTTTCATGTTTAGTCTTTTTCACGACAGGTGGTCTGTTCGCAGATCGGAATAGATCATGGAGCTGAAGATACTGATGTTGCTTTTCGCCATCATATTCAATGTCTTGCAACTTCATGATCCGGTATCCCAATTATGCAACAGGATAATGCAACTATTTTGTAAATTACAGTGGAAGAAACTAACAGCCTTATATATTTTTTTGTGCTTGTATAAATGCATTATAGGCCTTCTCTCGGTATTTGCTGATGTCTTGAAGTCAGGGCAAATATTGAGGTCCAGATTCACGAAGTCCAAGACGAATTGCTCACCGTTAAATTTGGTTACATTCAGCATCCATCTATCTAACACCCACTAAACTGCTTTTCATCAACCCACTATCCTGTTTCCCCCACAAGCAGGCAACCGCGAAGCCTCCTTCAAACACGCCATCAACTCGGCCGGCACCACGCACGCCATCACCCAGGCCTGCAGCCGGGGCAACCTGACCAACTGCAGCTGCGACCGGAGCAAGGAGACGGGGCTGACGGAGGAAGGGTGGCGGTGGGGCGGCTGCAGCGCCGACATCGAGTACGGGCTGCGGTTCTCGCGGATCTTCGTGGACGCCGGGGAGACGGTGAACGACGCGCGCTCGCTGATGAACCTGCACAACAACGAGGTTGGAAGGCAGGTAAGGTCGAGATTACGATGAGTTGAAAATAGTTCTCCTTTAAACACGAGGAGAGATTACATATAGTATGAAATATGGTTACGATACCATTAAATAACTTGCACTAGACAAGAAAGCTGAGCTAAATTCAGACACTATAACGATATGAATTATTGTTATAATGTTCTCGTTGAGAGGATGATGGGCGGATCTAGCTTTTTGGAAACGGGAAGGGGGGTTGATATAAAGTTGGGGGTGAGTGAAGGCATGCCTTGCTAAGGGTGTGAGGAGCTTTTGTTAATCTATGATTTTTTTTTGCACTCCAAGGCCTTTTAAGAATAACGGTAGTGGTGGTGGTGGGGGGGGGGGGATTGAGTGAAGGCACGCCTTGCTATAGGGGTGTGAGGGGCTTTTTTGATCTATGATGTTTCTTTTGCATTTTAAGGCTATTTGAGAATAAATTTAGCAACTTTAGCATTCCTTTTATTAGTTTGGCCCCATTTCCCTAGTTTCATAACATTAGTCAGCGGCTAATTGATACCTTAGACGGCCATCATCCATGGGCGTCGTGAGGGGGGGGGGCGCTCCCCCCCCCCCCACCCAGCAAAAAAAAAAGAAAAAAAAAGGGAAAAACAAACAAAAAGAGGCGCGAAGTCATAGTGGTGTAAATTAATGGGGGGGGGCAAAATGTCCCTGCCCCCCTCTAAAACTGATCAATCGAGAATATGTTGAGAAATACAGGAATTTTTTGGTGTGAAAATTTGTTTTGCCCCCCTCTAGAAAAAATCCTGGCGACGCCCATGCCATCATCGCATCATCACCAGACAAATTTAACAGTAAAACAGACATTTCTCGTCATCACATCTTTGAAACCAAGTGCACAATGTGTCCTTGGGTCTCCTCGAAGGACCAATCAATAAGACTAGTTTATTATTTTTTGTTAAAACTCGGTTTACATTCAATATTCAGGGATCATATTTATCAAGACAAAATCAAACCTTGGGTTACTCCAGGTTCATCCCAAAAACTGCAGTCGAGCTGTGAATTATTACATGTACTACATTTTGGTATAGAGAGTGACAACCGATCCTGAATGAGACTATTGTTTGCTGTTTTCTATGCAGTCATGTAATTCAATGAACCAAACGTAAAACGACATTGTGCCCTCTCTTCTACTGACACAGACTGTTGGCTGATTTGAAGGATTTCGATGCAATTGTATCCCCAGTTCTCTCAAGCATTTTTGTCACGTTTACATTCTCTATTCTTGAATGCAAATAATTTGCACAAGAATAAAGATTGCCATTCTGAAGTGGTCCTTGCAAAATGTAAATTTTATTACACAAAGCAGGATATATCTGTTTGGTTAACTCACAATATAATAATAAAAGCTAAGGCCTTCGGGATAGTCTTATATTTCATCCAGTTTCAACTTCGACCCAAGGTTTGTAATAAATTACAATTAAAGAGAAACAAAATACGGGGAAAAACCCGATTTACAGCAATCATGTTTCGTAAAGAATGGAGTCATTCTCCTACGATGAAGTAGAATTTTAAGAAAAGCCTCTTACCACTAGACTGTTTTACTTGTTTAGAGAGTGAAAACTAAGTTGAATGCTATTTAAGGCTTGACAAGCATGGATGATCTAAGGTACAACTTGTAACAGACGTGTGGATACATGTGAATGACTGCACTAACTCTACATGAGAAACGGTTCTGAGAAGACCCACAGCCCGGATGTTATAAACTCCTCTGATGATCCCCATTAGTTCTTCTTGAGGACAGATAGAGTATACAGCAGTGTTATCGTCGAGTCCATCACAAGTCCCTGCAAGTCCCTGCAAGTCCATCACAGATCCATCACAAGTCCATCACAAGCTATTGAAATGAACTATAAAAAGCTTTCCTTTGTCATTGTTCCTCCCGTTACTTGTGACTGGACTTAATGCTGAAAGGACTTGTGACTGGACTTGTGACTGGACCTTAGTGGGGCAGATAGGGGAAATATTTCTAGGGAATTGTGCCTGCATTTGGCAGACAGTCAGAGTGTGTCTTAAAAAAGATTTTTGGCTATAGGGCCATCTCAGATTTGTCCTATGGGTTGTCCTATGGGTTGAACAAGCAATTCTCAAAATGTTCAAAATGGGTACCATCGGCTTGTTATTAAACCTATATTTTTTCAAAGGACAAATCTGCAATGGCCCTATAGCCAAATATCTTTCTTAAGACTTACCCTGACTCTGTGCCAAATGCCATGCTTGTATCATCAAAGGCACAATCCCATCACCTATCTGCCGTACTATGTGAAAGGACTTGTATAATAACCTCGACTGCAACAATGGTATACAGATAAAAAAAACTTCTACAATCTTGTTTTTCAGACCCAACAGTTATCACAGAAAATACAGTAAAACATGTGTCATCTACAAACCTCACTCAGTGTTTTTTATATTCAAAAACAAAATGTTATAATATTCAGCCTTGATTTTGCATCTGTGGTGACTATAGGCCAGTCATATAGCCTTGAGATTTCGCACAAACCATGGTACCACGCGACCTCGTGTCGGCTCATCGCAGGCTGTTCACCCCATCTCTTACATTCTTCGTTCTCACCTCAGCACAGCCATCTATTTTTGTTGTTAATTAAATCGAGGAAGCTGCACAGATCCCCCTCAAAAATAACATCAAAGCGTGGCTCAAGATACCGCGACAACGGCGACAACAGGCCAACAAAAGCTGCAATTATGGCCCAATTTAAGTCCTCCGTTTAGGGCTTTCTTCTCGTTGTTGTGCCGAAGCGTATTTTGTTGTCAGTTCTCGTTGTGTCTCTGAGCTCCTCAATGACATGGCACGACACGGCCAGCCCTCAAGCCATACTCACAAACGGTCGGTCACTTGAAAATAACAAAGCCTGGTACTGTAGCCTACATACAAGATTTTTTAATTTTTTTGGTAAATTGTAAAATTAGGTAAAATGTCACTCAACAAGAGACCAACAGTTCAAAATCGAAGTACCATACACCCATAAGTTTTACAATAACGATGTATTTACCGCAATGTCCCACCGCCACTCCCACAAATGAACATTAACCAACCTATGTTCCTTTGTGAAAGTCTGTTATTGGTAGTCTTGTAACGATTTATTTCTGATCCACGTTTGAAAATCTGTAATCTGAATACTTATTATCATTATACAATACTATTATTTTTATTCGCCATATAAAAGACATTATGGAAATATAATGTCCATATTCAATAATTGCATTAGAATTTATGTAAGACATATTTTGTTTGCACAGACATCCTCTACTTCACCAACCATATTATATTCCATCCCCGCCTTGTCTGATGGAAATTAACGTTATCCTTATGACAAATGCAGTGGTTTCATTGCAACCGCTTACTCAGAAAGTCAGAAAGCTCTTCAAGAAACACTAAAAAAATATTTCTTTGATAAATCACATGCAAAGGGAACTGACTAATTGCGTAATAATAATGAACCCTTGCATCCAGTAATTGTAATAATTTGAGATGACAATATCCCGGAGGCATGAAAGAATAGATCTCAGATATCACTGTAGTGCGAACAATCTGTAATTGTTATAAAATTGAACAAGGAAATTTACTGGAGCGTGGTTCGAGCCTGCGACCTCTGGGCTGCGATCTACCAACTAAACTAGTATCCAGCACTACAGGCTTGAAACCCTCCCCCCCCCCCCCCCAAAAAAAAAAAAAAAAAAAAAAAAATGTGCAAGCAGGTATCGTTACATTTCTCAAAAAAGTACCTAACATGAGTATTTCATTTTGATGCAGCATATTAAGACTCTTGTGTATAATCAGTGAAAATATCATTGAAACCCATTCATGCAAACCAGAGCTGTAACAGATTATAAAAAGATGTGCGCGTTTCAACTGTTCCAATAAGAATTACGCATTGCATTGAAAATCGCTCAACCGGCACTCTGCAAAGGGTCTTGTCATTAAAGCCGTGTCCGCACTGGACTTTTTTTTGGAAGGTTTTACCGAGACGATGGTAAAATGAAAAATGGTCAAATGTGACCACTGTCCGCACTTGGACTTTCGACACGGGAAATTTTACCCCGACCGCGTGGGAGAAGTAACCGAGCTGTCACAGTGTCAGTATAACGACTCACCGTACGCAGAAAACAAATTGCCGATCACATTTTCAGCCACCGATACGCTCAGTAATATTACACACGCCATTTGCATGCATAACATAATCGTTTACACGATATTATTTCATCTTGACACGCTAAATCTTGACGAAAGGGCCTATAATTCTGACGCATTTGTGATGCACGTCGTCGAAGCCATGCCGCTGTACGATGTTCCGTGCGGCAGCAGTGCCATCAGTATTCGTTGGTTCCCATCGCATGCTTACAGAATCGAAGCTATGATGTGGGCCAGGAACCAGTGACTACGGCCTACGTACGGTACCGGACCATGATGTTCCGTGCATGACTACAGTAGCGTATCAGGACGAATTTGGATCGTAGAAAATAACATACATCGGTGGAGAAAGAGAATTTCCGCAAATTAATTCTCAGAATGTGATCTCTCTTCTCTGTGTATGTATTTGTCCGTTGAAATATATATTTTAACGAGATTTTACCGCTCGGACTTGATAATACACCGCAGCGTGTTTCTACAAAATGTTCGGCCACTGCACGTGCAGGTTCGTGCGGTCTCTGTATGCATAACAGGGCGCTCGGGCCGGATGTACGCTTTCCTGAGCCGCTTTTACCGACTCGCACTGTCCGCACTGGACTAATCGTCTCGGGAAAAGCGACTCGGTCAGTTTTCCTGGGCGCGTGGGAAGTTTTCCTGGGCAGCAGTTGGCCAGTAAAAGTAACCGCTGGACTCAGGAAAAGTAACTGAGAGGAAAACGTCCTAGGCTGTCCGCACTGGACTTAAAATGGGAAAAGTATCCATAGTCTCGGTTAGTTTGACCAAAAAAAGTCCAGTGCGGACAGGGCTTAAGTGTTTAAACCACATTTATTTGGAACGGGTGAAAACACAGTGCCATTTATAATCTGTTGTATCTCTGATTCGCATGAGTGGATTTCATCATGTTCGCTGTGATTACACACAAGAGTGCAAACAATATACTCCACCAACATGAAATGCTGATGTTGCATACTTTTTGAGAAATTTAAAGAAGTCTGCTCGCACAACCTTTTTGGGGTCACCCTGTGTTATGTTTGCTTCCCAGTTGGGAACTTCGTTGATTTTCGTTTTAAACTCGGTATCCTGTGCCGTGAACTTGTGCGAATAAAGATGCTGTTATTATAATTACAAAATAGTTCAAACTATACATCTTGTGCAGGTGGTGCAAGACAACATGGGGACCGAGTGCAAATGCCACGGAGTGTCGGGATCCTGTACGACCAAGACGTGTTGGACGACCCTGCCCCCGTTCCGGCTAGTCGGCAACATCCTCAAGGACAAGTACGAGAGACCGGTGCAGGTGGAACCGGTACGGGCCCGCCGGACTCGCCGGCCGGCCTTCCTCAAGATCAAAGACGCCCGGAACTTCAAGAAGCCGCGTCACACGGACATAGTGTACCTGCAGCGGTCGCCCAACTACTGCGACAAGGACCCCCGCGTGGGGTCCCTCGGCACGCTGGGCCGGCAGTGCAACCGGACATCAGTCGGTACGGACAGCTGCGATCTCATGTGCTGCGGGAGGGGCTACAACACCCACCAATACACGAGGATCTGGCAGTGCAACTGCAAGTTCCACTGGTGCTGCTACGTCCGGTGCAACCAGTGCAGCGAACAGACTGAAGAGTACACGTGTAAATAGGGAACCTTTGTACAAATTGGGGGACATGGAAATGAAAAGACGTTCGAAGTGACAACGTGTACAGCTGATATTGCTGAACCAAAATGCTGCCCACCTTTCGGATACCCAAGCAGCTTTGAAACAAATATCAAATTCTAATTATTTGCTGGAGAGAAGAACGGCTTACAACGCTGAACACCGAAGCATCGAATGCAGAATGCAGACTTCGCAACACTGGACTTAGTGACCGACAATACAGTTTCTCGTGGTATTTCCTGAAAAAGGAAAATCAAGAACAAAAACAAATGGACAAAGTATAGTTTCTGGTACTTGCATTCGAGTACGTTTCCATGTTCGCTTGCTTTGTGCCAAAATGTATTCGATTGCAAACCAGGGCTCAAGTGCAGTCATTTTTTTTTACAATCCCAATGCGTTTACTATCCCAATACGTAGAAGGGCCTCTTATACTGTCAACTACATGTAGTAAAAACCATACTCAGCCACAAATTAATTGAAAACAGTACAGACAGAATGGATAAGAAAACAGTCAAATTATAGCAACATGCAACTGAAATCAGCAAACGATCATTCTCAGTCTGAGAATTATTGACTAGAACATTTTACTGTGAGTTTCGATCTAAAGAAGAAAGCTACAGCGATTGGCGTGATTATGTTCTTTCTATACAGGGTGAGTAAAAAAAAAAGCGAAAAAAAAATGTCGGGACTATTGTTTTAGTGAAGTTCTACATGTAGCGCTTTCAAAGTCTAGGACATGAAAGCCCAATTCATAAGCTTTCTTTTATATTTAGAACAAGAATCATTCAAATCACTCATGTACTTTTTAAGTTACGGAATTGAGTAAACACAATCACCGTTTTAAAGTTCTGTCCACGGATCACAAAAAAAGGTAAGTGTTCTTCCAGCAAAACGAAAACAAATCACATAGGGATGTGTGTGAATTGTTTTCGTTTTGCTGAAAGAACACACCTTTGTGTGATCCGTGGACAGAACTTTAAAATGGTGGTTGTGTTCAAAATTCCGTAACTTGAAAAGTACATGAGTGATTTGAATGGTTCCTGTACGACAAGAAAGATTTTGAATTGGGCTTTCATATCCTAGATTTTCAAAGTGCTACATGCAGAGCTTCACTAAAACAATAGTTCCGACACTTGGGCTTCGCTTTTTTGACTCACCCAGTAGAGGAAAACCAGTCATTTATTTGACGAAGTTGTTCTAAAAATGTAAATGATGTTGTGATGTCATACCCGACTTCCATGCCATGTTTGTACTTGACAAAGTGGTCTCAAATACAATCTTGATGAGAATTACTAGTACCGTACTTGCTTGGCTTACACCTAAACTGACATGAATTCTGCCTTTATAATGTGATCGTAAACTCGAAATATACAGGATTTAGGAATGACAATTAAGCACTCACAAAAGTATCAATATTGGTTTCTATAATTAGATACACCATGAATATTTATGTATAAATCATAAATAATTTATGTATACATCATAAAACTCACAAATATGAACTTTTTAAACTCATAACAGCTATACTTTGATGGCCCTGGTACATGTAGTACACTTTTTGAGTTATAAATATTATGAATTTATATTAAAAATGTCTGTATATAAATCTTACGGAAGGCATTTAAAAGAAAAATGCCAGTCCCCGTGTACATAATGCTAAGAGTTTATCATAATTCGAGAGGCTTATTTATTTATCTTAAAACAAACAAAATGCGCTATTTTAGTTAAATATTAATGCGAGAAGAAAAAAAAAAGAATCGGGCTGCTCTTATTATTAAACCGTTTGCACAGCGATTTGTCCACGCTTGTTTACAACTTGCCACGTTATTCTCCAATAACGTGTTGGAACTACAAGTGCAAACAATGAGCTTGAATGAATGATCTGCTAAAACATGTTTGCATTTACTGGGGGAGTAAAAACAAAGTGGAGAAAGATCAAGATGGGAGATGTATTTAAGTGTACACAAGATAAGGTTTTGGAGTGTCGAGATAATGACTTGGGGGAGAGTGATAAGGCATTGAGGGCAGTTACCCGGACTGGCGTGCTTTGTACGCCGGGAGAGTATTTGCAGATCGTGGGACGGATGAGGCGTATAGTCGCCATTTTCTTATTCAGACGTGTCTGCAGGTGACCTAAACCCAACAAAACGAGTCTGACGCCGCCACAGCCACTTTTGAGTTACGAGTCCTCATTCAATTCTTGCACAATGAAAACAAACATAGGAACTGTCAATGTGTTCAGTCATAATGTCCATATTTATCGGAATGTCAAATTCAGTGATCTGTCAGAATTAAAAAGCTGAGTGTGCTTTGAATGCATTTGGAAAACTAATGGGTCAAAATATGCCCTTAAGACTCATTTTGTGGGATCTGGCCACCAAGTATGTTCACTGCTGTATGACTGAACACTCGATATAACGGCACACCAATGTTGTTATTACAAATAAAGATGGGTATCACAAGACGAAAGCAAACTAAGTGATGTCTAGCTATGTTCATTTCAAATGGTGTACAGACACATTGTATAGCGAGGTCGCAATGCAACAAAACGGCAACTTCCAAAGTCCCGGGTCAGATTCGACCCTGGATCCTGCATCATCCTGGTTGGGTTTAACCTGATACAAATCAGGGTCAAGATAATCCCTTCCGGGTCAAAATGGCATATTTTGTGTGTGTCAAAATAACACTTGTTCGGACCAAATGGCCCGAAAAAAAATTGACTCGGAGAAGTGTCATTTTGACCCAGGAAAGGTCAAGTCAAATCTGAGCCGGACCCGGGTCGAATATATCCCGGGACTTTTAAGAGTCTCCTCCATTATGTCTCCTCCTTAAAAGCCTGTGTCCTCTCGTTGCCAAAATAGAGACCTCAAAAAACAGCCTTGTTTTAAATGGAGCTGGTCGATTAGGCAGAAATTCGCCATAGATAAATATGGACCTAAACTATACTAGGAACGCTAAAAATCCCTGGATTTCTCGGTATCACTTTGACTGATACAGCGCACAAGCCTTCACAAGACTTCATTTTTTCCTTCTTTTAATGGCGAGGCAATTTAACTTAGCTTGCCTACGTTAAACTATGTCTCTAGTAGAGTACCGGTACTATTCAAGATACCATTTCCATTTTCAACATGGGCCAGCGCCACTTGCATGCTTTCAATACTTTTTTTGTATAGTTGTAGACCAACGTCATAGCCGGAGGTCTTCTATTGTGAAGGCACGCCGGTTGTAAAAGTACAAGAAAAAAACATCGCTGGTAAAAAGTTTAAAAGCCAGGGTGTCCTTTTACCAATTATGAAACGTAAGTCAACAGTGGGAGAAGGGGTTTTGAGGGAAAGGGAGCCGTGAGCTTTGAAAAGGATTCAATGCGTGGAGGGATTAAGGAACAAAACCGTACGGTTTTGTTAACTGTATCAAAAATTGGATACATGCCTCCAGAACGCCACACAAAAAAATCGTTCATTCTGGAAGTTTATGGACACTTCTGTACAAAATCATAACAATATTGCATTTAGTTTTGAAAAGATATCTTTAGGAGGAAGATATTACACTATGGAAGTACACACACTTCTACCACAGAAAAGGGGCCACAGAAATAAAGCCTTCTTGTTTCGTCTCAACATCTGCATGTGTTCTTGCATTGTGATATATTCATCAGATATCCCATGAAGCGGCGTTCATGCTGTGTGAATGCAACAATACAATCACTACATTCATTCCATAGTAAACCTATTGGTTTTAAAATATATAAGTATGGTAAACGCGTGGAGAAAGAAACAGTATACGTAACACGAAACCTCAACTGTGATGAGTAGGCACAAATTCAAAGCAAAACCCAATGTGCGTAATATATAACAACACAAGTTTGTACTCCATTCATGCGCACTTCCACATTTTTCAAACTGACTTTCGTTTCCTAGGCTTCCAAGGTTTCTGTTAAAAGTCAGTCTAGGGCGTTCCCTGTTTACAGTAAAAGCTCTAGGCCTAGACACGCCACAGTTTTGAAATGCAAGATTACATTTTTCAGCCCGCAACTTTCGTTTTTAAAATTGGCAACAAAACAACAAGGGATAATCTGGATCATGCACAGTTGGTGCACATTGCGCAACTTCTTTTGAGGGAAAAATGATTCACAAGTTAAGAGTAGGCTATTTGTAAGGCAACATGAGTCACAATTTCGGACGGCAAAGCCCGATCGTTTATGTAACCACTGGAATATTGTGAATTCACAATGCGCTACTTGTAAATAAATATCATGTTTTATATACACAACAATTTTGAAACAACCTGGTGCTTCGAGTCTTTATTTTGTGACTTCCGAACAACAGACCCTTTGCGTGGCAGACATCTTGACGGTGCAGAGCTTCTGCTCCACGCGGATACGAATAAGACGACCTATTGGCATTCTTTGGAATCACAACATTGAAAAGCCCCAACACAGCTGCTGTATGCACCGGGCCAATAGCTGTATAACTTGCGATACTGACCGAAGTCGGATTGGAACCCAGTACTTACACCGTACAGCAGCATTACCGACCAAGCCCTCAAAACATTCATTGTGTCTAAAGCTTGCAATGCATTTGTTCCAGACATAAAATATTGGCAACTTCCCCTTTTTGGAAGGCATGTCAAAACCTATCAGCCATCAAAGCCCGGCCGACAAACATTGACAGTCCGTCATGAACTAACCAAAAACTTCCCCCGAATCGCTACCCGTTATGTCGGTGCGAGGAAATAATATGTCATAATAAATGATACATGGACCCCCACTTGGGGGACGTTGGGTTTCCTATAGTAGATTTGTTGGCAAGCCTCGACTGTTCGAGGTTCATCAGTCAATGCAGGAAAAGCTTGGGCATGACTTGGGGCAGGGGTATATTATACGGAGTGGCAGTTTATCGGGGTTGGCTTGATGTCGAACCTGTGGGATATGGGTCTGCTGTCAATCACTAAAAAATGCTAGAGGGACCGCATTCCCGCTCTGATGCAATACAAACACGGGGGAACAAAAGGGGCAACCGCGAATTAATTTTCTTTGGGCAATTCATGCGGGAAGTGTATATAATTAGGTTACTGTATATGAAGACGTTAACGTCAGGTACGGTACTATAGGCATGTGGTTTAGGCTATAAAATGTTGGAAAATAAAATCACACGGCAGTCCTTTATCGAAACAAGCCTTTCGTATCCAAAAGTATCATGCCCTTTTCTATATAGGGCAGATAATCTAAAACAAAACAATATACAAATGCAAATAAAAATGGACAGATAAAAGCCAACGATACCCTTTAAAAATATTCATTCGAAAGTTTCTTTCAATATACCGAACTAGGCGTGCGTGCAATTGGTTAAAGTAGCATGCGGTCCAACGTTTTGTTGCGATTTGGTAAAACCTTTGGTTGTTGAGCGCCTTTGAGCATGCTGCAAGATGTACCCACTGTTGGCTGAGCTGTGCGGTGAGTATTGCGTGCAGTAGGCCTCTTTTTGACACAATATTAAACCAAACACGAATACACGAGTTAACATCAGAAATGCCCAAAATACACGTACCGTTTACTCAACTCAATTAAAACGGTCATCCGTGGCGAAATAATGTCTCTACTTCACCACGAATCCATGTTGGAGTAAAAGAAAATTATTATCCAGCTCAATTTGAACATATAGAGATCAGTGATTTTGAACCTACTTTTTAGAAATAATTTAAAGGTCGTCTCCAGCCTTCAGCATTTCAGCACTTGGCCCTTCGGGGATCGGCATCATATCTGAACGACTGAAGAGACTGGCCTGGTGCTGGTATTTTCGGTGATGCGATTAATGTGAAGCAAGTGCACTTCAGTTATCAATCAAACTTGTTGACTTCCAAAAAATGTCCTTGTAAAAAAATGACTGGCCACACACGAACTGCCAGCAAGCCGCGCGTGCTACCCACCGTCAACTTGTAAAACATTCAAACCCACCCACACGTCATTATCATGTCGCATTGAGCCATGGCTTCAGAGCTGCATTTTGAAGTTCGAGTGAACTCCCCAGTCCTCCTGGACATACGAGCTATCGGATAATAACTCTACCAGTGCGTCATTCCTATAGTGTATCAGTCCGGGACATAATTTGATTTTTATTGGGGCGGCATGAATCCCCCTTTTCTCACGGCCCAATTTCTCCGCTCTTGGATGCCCGTCGTAGCTCATTAGGCTTTCCGCGGCTCACCCAGCGTCGCACCCCGAGCCTCTGACCGCGAAGGAGGCTCGGGTAGCCGGGTTGAAACGGCTACAGTAACCGCTGACTTCTGGCTGGGCTACCGGAGGATAAATTGAAATGCCACGATCACGTCATGTCAAATCGAGACGGTGTTTTGTGTGTGCTCACGAGTGGGTAACTTTTACTAAGTGAGATTTCTTTTTTTAAACATGATCGTGCGGGGGATAGCTGAAGGTATCACAAACAATCCCCGCCGTGCGTAGTCGGGCCTTACGTGCTTTGGCAACGTTTAACCTTGTTGTCACATTAAAATGTCACGAGAATGTCGAAGGGATGCATGTTGCGATTCCAGGGAGGGATGGATGTAAAAGGACTGGGTAAACTGTTTGGACATTTGGGGTGAAGGTTCTCTGATTGAAAGGTTCTATCAGAATTGGCTAGTATAGAGATGCTCATCAGCGGTACAAAGACCGAGTTGCTGCCTGAGCTCGGGTATTGGCTCAGCCGGGAAAAAAAGGTGCTTGGCAAAAACAAGTTAACAGCCAAGATGTCATACAAACTGTAAAGCTTGTGACTAGTTATCAACTTATATTTGACAGGGGACACAGAATCTGCTTAGCAATATTTTAAATTTCTGCCCAACAGCATCATAAATGAGATTTGGCACGAGATGCTCATGACAGGTACAGGGCGAATTGTTTCGCAACAGCTAAGCACCGACACATACTTCTCGGCAAAAACAGGTCATCAGCCAAGATGCCACACAAACTGTATTGCTGGTGACTGGTTATCAACTTATTTTTGCTAAGAACACACATTTGCTGAGTAATTATTTTTTGCTTAACAGCTCAGTTATGAGAATTGGCACGAGATGCTCATCAAAGACAGGTAAAGGGCTTATTTTATTTCTAGAGCTGCAGATACGCACTTAGCGCGAAAAAGATGATCGGCAAAAAAACCCAGGTCATCAGCCTTGATGTCATGCAAAATGTATTGCTATAGTTGCTGGTTATATCAACTATTTTTTGCTTAGAACACACACTTGACAATAAGCTATATTTTGTGAGTAGCAGCCTTACGAAATTGGGCCACGAACAGTCAAGGGCAAGATGATGACGACTCAAATTATTACCATGGCATTAAATGGTGGCGACAGTGATGACAGTTTTAGTGATGGACGTTGTGGTAATATTGAAGATGATTGGGGTGGGTGATGATAGGGAGATTTATGGTGGTGGTAAACTGGCGAGGTTGATGTTTTCTATGACAGGGGTGATGTTCATGGTGATGGAGCTTGCATCCTTGTTAGATGATAAAAATAATGTGACATGGCATATCAAAATCAAGCATATTTTGGGCAAGAAGTCAATTTTGAGTTATTGCAGTTTTTGTAAAATATCATCCTTGCTCTTTCAAACACCACCTGTGCTTTTTGACATTGGATATTCCAAAGCAAAGGTATTAGATTGTGAAATCCGACTGTCAGAATTGTCAAAAATGAGAAATAGTCCTTTAAAGTTTGAATTTGGTGAAAAAAAGGTTATCCTTATCAAACAACAAATTGTAAAACAACAAAGTTACTAATGTTTCAACAATAGTAGCGTGACAAATTTCAAAAATCTCAACATCGCTGACTGTCACTCCCATGTCATTTTGCAGCGTTTTCTCCATTCGCAGCTCTGCCCAATTCAGCCTGTTTTCGACAAACCATGTCATATTTATGCCAGGAAGTGAAAACAAAAAGTATTGATAATGGCGACTGTTTTTTTTTATTAAGGTAATAGGAATGCTGCTCCTATGATTCTCCTAAAGTTGCCTGCAATGAAATACAACGCTTTTGACAAATACGAATACAACCAGAATGACACAAGGTTAACAGTTTATATCTACATGTATAGTTCATTATTTTACCTTTATTCTTTTGACAAGCATTGACTCTTTAACTAGACAATACAGACATTCACTGATAAAAGTTGACATACGGTTGACAGTTTATATCTATAGTGCATTGTTTTACCTTTCTTTCTTTTGACAAGCATTGCTCTTTAACTAGACACCACAGGATTTCATTAATAACAGTTGACACAAGGTTAACAGTTTATAGATATACATTGTATAGTGCATTGTTTTACCTTTATTTCTTTGACCATCAATAATTGGGTCTTTAAGTACACAATACAGAGACAATCACTGATACAAGTTGACATAAGTTAATACTGAGTCACATCATCAGAACTCAAAGGTCATTCAGAAGTCTGGGACATCTTCCTGGAGGAGTAATGGAATAGTGCGAGTCAAAAAGGTTAGGGCCATGGTGTTCATTACTTTGGGTTTGTAGATTTGGAGTTGCAGGTTTGTGATGGGGGGGGGGGGGAGGTGGGAGATGTCTCCGCAAAAGGGTAAAGGGTGGGCGTCGAGGTGAGGCTGGGAAATGGGTCTCGATTGAAATTTGGGTTCGGAATGTAGACAGATTGAAGGTAGGTAACTGGATTTGGGTTGGGAATGGGGGCAGGGAATTGGGTTTGGGTTGGGAATTAGTAAATCTGGATGTTAAGTAAGCAACTGGGTTATTGCGAATGAACTAGTTGGGAGGTAAGGACACTGTGTTTGGTTATGCGATAAGGGATAGTTTGGGAATGTCATTGCCAGGTTAGGGATTGCATGTGCAAAATGCAAAAGGTGAAGTTGGCTTTTGGGTTGACACAGTTCCACAAGAGGCAAGGAACTCGGTTTTGGGAATCTAGAATTGCTGGCATAATATTATGTGTTTTGGATGTAGAGGGAGATTTGGAGAGCTTTTTAATGGGTCAGGGTAAAGAAAAGGCCAGGGAAGCAGATTTCATTAGCTGAGCATAGTGTGGGGCAATGCAAATCTTGACACTGAGATTGGATTGGTTGGATGCTTGAAAGACGAGGGCTTTGAAAGAAGATGCAGGCATTCAACATGGCTATCATAAGTTAACTAATGATAGTTTGAAAGCTGTACTGCGGTAAATGGTCATCACGGACCACACCCTCGGGTGGTAATGAGGGCAGGGCAGGGCACGTACTGTTAACAATCAGGGAAGTGATGATGATTTGAACCAATGCCTCTTCCTTGACTACTAATAGCGCTTCTTGCCCAGGCACTTGGCCTGAAACCGACACTGCTCTAGCTGGTCTATTGACCAAGCTCTGGGGTTCGGAATGACGCGAGGCATGCATGACTGAAAAATCAGACAAAAGATGTTGGTTTGGATCGCCAGTCACTTAAAGGCATATAGGATCATTTGCATTTATCCCAGAAGTAACCCACTGAGTTATTAAAGAAAAAGCTAATTGGGAATAACTATTGCATCGGTACTAAACACATTGTGAAATTAATCCATCTGGCTTGCTGTCCTTTAGAAGAAATCAAAAAAATGTAGGTGTATTTCCAACAATTAATCAATTGACTTATCATTTGAAATGAAGTGTTATTAATGCGATTGTGTTTCGTGATCAAAAAGGTTAGGTTTTGAACTTTCTACTTTGGATTTTGGGTGGTGTTATTGTTGGAATCAAACAAACATCTTCTTCAGGATGTGGCGTGGATGGCTGATGACAATTAAACAAGTGACTATGGAGGGTCAGTTGTTATTAAACCATTACGTCTTCATTGTTGACCAATTGTACATCCTACGTACTCCCAGCAATCTGCCTGAGAGCCACACAGATCTAGCTGGTGATTGCTGACCGGTGATGGTTTTATGCACTCCTTGCAAAAAAAAGTAGATGATGCTTCCTGACCACTCACACATGTTTGCCTTACATACCGTACCTAGTGTAGCCATTCCTTTTGTTTTCATTTAGTAAAGAAAATCAGAGAGAAAAAACTTGCTTTACTCGCACTGTGAACACTCTTTCAACCCAAATTTTTGATCATGATTAAATTGAGTGTTCTCTTCATTTTGCGACAGATAACCCTAACCCAAACTTTGTGAAAAACTTTGTGTGGACCTGAGCAAGTCCACACAATGTCTTCACTATTTGCACTGTGTGGACATCTTTTGTTCACAGGTCCACACAGTGACTGGACGTACTACCTGGGCCAATTTCATAGAGCTGCTTAAGCACAAAATTTGCTTAAGCACACAGAAATCTTGCTTAATATAATCAGGTTACCGGCCAAAACTCCACTCGATTGTTATGCTAAGTAAACAACAGCTAAATACCAGTCACAAGCAATGTACATCGTATGGAGTTTTGGCGGGTTACGTGATTTTACTAAGCAATGTTTTTTCGTGCTTAAGCAAATTTTGTGCTTAAGCAGCTCTATGAAATTGGGCCCTGTCTACAAGAGCTACGTGTGTAGGACACACCAGGTGCTGGTTTGTGTGTGTATAGTGTGAAGTAAGCACATCTGCTTTTATGCAGGTTGTACCAAGGGTCCAGCGGCAATGCAGTCAAGAGTCTTCCTCACAACTTATATTTTTACCCACTGATGAGTGGGTGCTTGTGCATAGAATCAAAAACCACTACTTCTTCCTTGACAACCGATAGTACATCTTGCCCTCATGGCACTCAGCCTGAAATCTTTACAGCGCTCATCAGAGGCAAGTACTGACCAAGACCTTGGGTCTGGAATGAGGACAGGAATTCATGACAAACAATCAGAAAATAAATAATGTTTTTGAATGTCATTCACTTAACCCGTCACTTCTTTCTTGACGGCCGATAGTACATCTTGCCCTCATGGCACTCAGCCTGAAATCTTTACAGCGCTCATCAGAGGCAAGTACTGACCATACCTTGGGTCTGGACCGAGGACAGGAATTCATGACAAACAAGCAGAAAATAAATAATGTTTTTGAATGTCATTCACTTAACCCGTCACTTCTTCCTTGACGGCCGATAGTACATCTTGCCCTCGCGGCACTCGGCCTGGAAGCCGTACTGCTCCAGCTGGTCATTGTTGACCACTCCCTGGTTGGACATCTCAGCGATGACTGCCTGGTTCTGCAGGTTGCCGTCGCAGAGGTTTCGGATGGCAAAGATGGCCCACTGGCTGATGACTGATAAGCCAGGAAGAGATGGCAGTTAAGGAAAGGCATCCCTCCAACTGTAAATAGTCAATATATATCAATTAAAGGTACTTTCATAGGTACGGTATCTTTGGAAATAACACCGGAGGAGAAGTGCATGTGTAACTCATTAGATTAACATCCACTGAGACTAACACTGCAAAATATTTATACTTTTTACTTCAAAACAGAATAAGTCTCTTTTTAGAGACAACGAGATACCTTACATGTACATGTATGTGTTGCAAGCCTCAAAGACAATGTTTTTTTTTTTAATTTGGGGAAATGTTTCTATTTGAAATGTTTCAATTTGAATGGGCTACAGGATGGGGGCAAAACTTCGAAGTCTTCCTATATAAAGCTTATCACAGTTAGCGCGGGGGTTCCAAGCCCCACCTGTTTAATCATTCAGATGCTTGTTCTAATTTTGGGGAAAAAATATGACACTTTAGCACAGCTTCACCCAATTGTCCAAATTTACAAAATAGACAAATCACATTGCCATCTTTACTTAATCAGTTCACGTCAGATGGTTTTGTGGTATTAGGAACGGATGATGGATAAATACGGAACGAGAGAGGCCGGAAATATCTGTCTGCGACACGCTCACAGCGAGTGAAGCCGGAAATATCAGGGTGTGCTACCCGCAGATGACGGCCTGAGCACGTCTCGCATAGAGGTTTGTAAAAAATAATCACTCGCCTGGGTCCAGTCAATGCCAGCGTTAACTGGTTTAACAGCACCTCCGATAGAGGTACATGTACATGTACCAAGTTCCCCCTTCCCAACTATATACCTCCGTTTCCTTCTTTGCCACCCTCCCCCCCACCCGCACCCCACACCTGGCAAAGAAATTGACTTTGCCTTTGTAACAAATTACAAGGAAACAAATATTGGCTGCTGAATATAAGGAAGTGTTCTTTCCAAGGACTGAAGGCAACCAAATGGGAAGTATCAAATTAGGCCATGCCCACACCACATCGGAAAATAATTTCAAACAATTTTTGGAGAATTTTGAGACCTTTGGCAATTATACATTAGACAAGGATACATGGATTGCTGTCGTCAATGTTACACTGCTCCAGTATGACTGGGATACCATGGAGCTCTCGCACCTGCAGAATTGAAAAACAAAGAAATAACAAGATTTGAGTTTCTTGATGAACATGGAAGAGAAAACTTGGAATGGTCTGAAACAATTACAAATGTATTGTGAAACACCATTCTATCAGGGATCTCCTTTTTAAGAGTGAGGAAACAAAATATTCAGGTTAGCGCAGTGGTTACTTTCCTTGCCTTCCACCGCTATGGCCTGGGTTCTAGTCCTGCCCGGACCACATGTGGATTGGGTTTTCAGTCCCTACCTGATTCCGTGGATTACCCCAGAATATTCTTCTGGGGTTTTCCTCCCACCTCTAAAACTGTATTGTCTTCTCATTGTCTTCTCTCCACAGGTTTCTTCAGGCTTGCGAGCTACAGTGCCTAGGGCGCTTTTGAGGTATCCTTGGTTTCATTACCATAAAGAAATAAAATAACAATACAATAAAAATCTCCTGTTTACAAGTGTGGAAACACACTATTGTCCAGAGGCATTGTTCCAAGCCATTGTGGCTGATTTCAAGGCAAGTGTTTATGCTCAGTGTTTGAGGCAGGGCAAGATTTGTTCTCCCATTGGGTTGGATGCCAGTCATAGGTCTTCCTCCCACATGCGTCGCTGAAATTTCCTTCTGAGTATTCTCTTGGCAGATTTTTTTGTCTGGCACAAAAAAAGTTGCTTCACTTTTCCAAGAACTCTTGGCAAACAATAAGAAAAAAATTTGGATGAAAAATCAATCGAAAAAACTGACATGCGGAAACATGTAAATGCATATGTTGTCTATTAATTCTTCAGATGGAAGGTTTGAGACCAATTTTGGGGTTCAAAAGTTAACTCAGACCATTTGGATACAGTCTGGTCCGAGTCATGGGTTGTTCCAATAGCACTAATGTGATCCATCACATTATTCTAAGTTGAATAATGACAAATTTATATAGACAGCCCTAAAGGAATTTAGCTAAACCATGTATGAATAAACACACCTGCTAACAAAGGATTCTCTCTTAGTTTAAAGTTATAGTCCATCATTTGTAATTTGTGCATTGTGTTCGTTTGAAGCAACAAAAGTGCTCAAAATCTAAAGAAGGGTACTGAAGAACTAACCTGATAAAGTTTCAGCTCAGCTTCAGTTGTATATTCTGATTAAAACAGCATTCTAGGATCTCAATTTCAAATCAAAAGTTGCTGAATCATGTTTTGAATTGCGCCTAAATTCAGTGTCCGAGACACATTCTCACTGAGCCGAATGCAGCTACGCGATGTCGCGCACTGATCTGACGAAGTATAGCAACCGGGGGTGCGTGTGCGTCGTGCCAATGCTTGCACGCGTTTCGCCGAATAACAAAACGAACTACTAATTCAACTTTTCCTACGGTGCGTCTTAAGAAGCACCGTTGGAAAGGCCTTCTTTCGTTGATTACCGCAAAATGACAGCTTGCCAGAAAGAATAATTTCACAGGGAGTTTAGTCCCCTTACTATCTTTCAACCAAGTATGTTTTTCAACAATAATTACGCCAGCTCCTTTTCGGATAGCTGCAAATGATGGACTATAGCTTTAAAAAGGCTTGACAAAGATAGTTACGGTTAGCTACATTTTGTGTAAACTATAAAATTGGGCCACATGGCTTAAAACAAAAATTGAAGAAACCTGTAGGGTTGCATAGGCCTATGGGTTTTCTGGTTACAAATCTGAAACATGCAAGCCCCCCCAGTCCAATTCTGAATTCTTTTGGGTTGTGATTTGAGTTGTGGCCCGAGGGGCATGAGTATTGTGACACAGTCAAGGTCTGAAGTTAAAAGATATTATTACAGGGCTTAGCTGACCACAAGTCAAGGCGGAAAGTACCAGCCATTTTCCAAACTACCACACTTCAATTAAAGGGAAAATACAACATTTGCAAACATCCAAATATAAAACTACCAATTTATTTTGAAAAACCTCACTGGACTGTTAGCGAATGACAGTCTGTAAAGCATCCTGTAAAATCATGGCACCTGGTATACTGTCATTTTCAAGAAAAGTGGTATTTTTGTATCCATTTCCAACGGTGGTCGGCCGACCAGTGTTGGAAAAAAACTGGCTTTTTTTTTCTCAAATACTTGCCCCAATTTGACCATATTTAGCTAGTCCCTATTTGTTTGCAATTGATTACACACTTATGAACGGATACAAGCCAGCTAGACTGGTTCCCTGACCTTACAATGTTTATAAACTGCTCTGTTTCCTCTTAAATGGAGTCAGGGATCCAGACTACAGGAAAATGATTGTTTTTCTTGCTTTTTATAGCATCTACGAACCCAAAACGTCAAAAAAGTCAGTGTAACAATATTTGGTATTACCAACCCGGTATTACCAACCCCCCAAATTCATCCATTTCTGACAATTACAGCAAAAGCAAATGATGTATTCCCTTTAAACAGGTACATGGCCTCAGTATTTTACACCTTCAAAACAGCAATCCACATAGTGTGGTTCAACCAGGGCAACTGCGAAACTTCAAACACACAGAAGTCCTTGAAATCAATTAAAGAGTTTGGCATTCACCGAATTAACCAACCGTAATAACCCACCATAAATTTTTATCGCCCACTTTTTAGAGTTCTTCCAGTTTTGCCATGAAAGAATAACAGACTCAGTTGGCTTTTTGCGGTCTTCTTTTTTTTTTTTACGAAGTTAACGATAAAATTTGCATGGGTCCTTGAGGGTAATAATAGTAAAGTATCGCATGGCCACATCCGCTAGTCAATAACTGTGGGAGGTACCGGTAGTTTTTCCCGCAACTATTTCTGGGGTGTTTACGATTTCAAATTAGGGTTTTATTGTGGTGTGTGTACCAAATGGAATTTTTTACAAAGTACATATAGGGTAAGATGACATTTATGGCAATGCTCAGCTTTTATGTTGATCGGCATACATTTGGCTGTTACTGCTTGAAAAATGAGCCTTGCAATGGAGAGAACTTTGGCGAAGAGTGTCTTGACCATACATGTAAATTAAAAGAGTTAAGCTGAGGAGTAATCACCAAAACTTAAGGTGGAGGTGCGTAGTGTTTTGAAGTTGCAATGTTGAGCAGCATTAGTTCAAACACAATAAATTAAGAAACCAGTGGAATTCTCCCTGTGATTTTCATTCAGGGTTGGGGAAATTTTCATTTTTGGGTTGGAGAAACTGTACTGTAGAGATTAGGGAGGTGAAAAAGCTCAGTGTACAATGCATTAAAGGTACAGTCCATCATTTGTAATTTGCGCATTTTGTCCGTTTGAAGTAACAAAAGTGCTCAAAATCTAAAGAAGGGTGCTGAACAACTAACCTGATGAAGTTTCAGTTCAGCTTCAGCTGTACATTTTGAAAAGAACAACATTCTAGGATCTCGATTTCAAATCAAAAGTTGCTAAATCATGTTTTGAATTGGGCCTGAATTCAGCGTCCAAGACACATTCTCACTTAGCCGATTGCAGCCACGCGATGTCGTGCACTGATCTGACGAATTATAGCAACCGTGCACGCATGTGCGTCGAGTCAACACTTGCGTGCGCTTCTCCAAATAAAAAAAACGAACTACTAATGGAAGTTTCCAATTTAGACGCATCTTTAGAGGCATCGTTGGAAAGGCCTTCTTCTGTCGATTTCTTCAAAATGACAGCATGCCAGAAAAAATAATTTCACAGGGAGTGAAAGTATGTTTTTCAACAATAATTATGTCAGTTACTTTTTTGGATAGCTGCAAATGATGGACTGTAGCTTTAAGCATCATGTGCACAGATGAGCACCAATGGCTGTCTCTGCGCACAATTTATCCCAGCCACTCAATCTCCTCACAACATTTTAATGTACTCGTGTTAAAGAAAACGCACTTTTGTCCAAGACATTTACCCCCCGGTATTCTGAGGTTTTCAGGATTGCATTGCGCATTTCACACTGCAATATGCACATTTTCAGCATGGCCCAATTTCCAGCACAGTGCCAACATTTTCCTCATCCGGAAAAATGTCCCACGTTGGGAAGAGGATGCCAGATTTCCCCCCTTACTTAGCATGGTGGGATTGCCACGGTAACTGTCAATACATGCATGCCTTGTCAAATCTCCGGCAACAGTCAGTCAAGCTTATCATCAGAAAGACAACAAAATGATTGGCAGCGCATATAAATTTTCGCATTGTGGCACAAATTTGTCAAAATGTGTGTTTAGTGTACCCGGCCCCTACAATTAGTCGACAAAAGACGGCTCAAATTGAGGGGCCTAAGCTGCCTCCCAGTCAACTCCTGCCTAATTGCCCCCTACTTATCAAAGAAAACTGCCCTGATTTTTGCAGCCCCCCTGAAAATGTACTTGCACCTGCTCCAGGAACTTTTAGAAAGCCCCGCTCAGTTAGAAACAGCAACAGTAACAATTCCACAGAGGAAATGTTACCTTAACCTTGGCTTGCAGTACTCTGTTACATTCATTAATTACAGCGAAGTGTTTTGTCGAGACAGACTGTATTTCAAGTTCCTGTTTAAAGAGTAGACCACAATGCGTTGTTTAAAAAGAGGAAAACTTGAAGTCTTTTTTTTGTTTCTGCCCCTGGCTCATTAAAAACAGCTCAAGTCTGTAGCAAATTTTAACTGTTTTGGTAGGTGTAAGTCTACACCAGTTTTCCGTTATTTTTGTGGTAATAATTAGAGGCGAGTTTTAGAGTGTTGTTTTGCTGTGAAAGGTGACCCGGCAACTTCTGTGTGGCCCTGAAATGAAGAAACGCTCTGCTGTACTTTTCTTACACAGGGCTTCTGAGTTCATGTTGGTGTGCAAAACACTGCCTGTTTTCCTTGGCAAATGACTTCTGCACTAAAGGAAAGACATTCTATAACTTCAACTGTGCTTTTGTACAGTAAAAGGAAATGTACCATAAAGCTCTCTGATGTTTTGACTTTGTAAAACCACGGGAGAAGATTTAAATGTTTGCATGATGAAGTGATCATGTGACAAATCATTATGGTGAGTTTGTAAGGTTCTGAAAAGAACTGAGGAAACTCAACA